CCCTCTCCCTCAGAGTAAAAGCCAAAGTTTCTACAGTGACCCATGAGCCTCATGGCTGCCTTCTCACCTCTCACTGTTCTCCAGCCACAGGGCCTCCTTGCTGGTGAGCTATTAGGTGAGCTACAGCTGCAAAACCTTCACCTCAAATGCTCTTCAGCCAGAGAGGGCTCACTCCCTTACTTCCCTCAGGAATTTACTCAGTGCCATCTTTTCAATATGGTGTTGTCCCTCAGTCACTCTGCCTAAACTTTGAATCACTAACCACATACCTTCCCCGCACATGCTTCCCATTCCCCTTTCCAGCTTTCATTCTTTTTTCATCTCACGACTTACCATTCCCTCAGTACTAACCATTTTCCTTCTTGCCCACAAGAAAACAAGCCCCACAAGGGTTGGAACTTTTGTCTGTTTTGTTTACTGCTTGTCACCAGCATCTAGAATAGTACCAGACACTCAGAAGATACTTAACAAATATTTGTATAAATAAATGTCTATATAAGAAATTGTCAGTTCTCTGTATTCCCTTGCCCATATAGCAAGGAAACCACACTTCTCCCCCAACCCTTACTTGAGTAACCATCATATGAGTACTTGACCTGAGATCCAAGGGTAGAAAGCACAGCAGAAGGTAGGCTGGTAGAAAGCCTGATACATAGGAATTAAAGTCTGCTCTGAAGAGTAAGCTCCAGCCCCTACCCCTGCCTGACTCCTGGAAGTCAGCTGACAGACTTAAGCACTGTCCCCACCCTCATTCCCAGCTCTAACCTTCAGGCAGGAGTTAGAAAGATCCTAATATGTTGAAACTGAATGTGACCTGACCACCCTACAATGATATTCACCAGTCAACAAGTTCTATCCACACAGAACTTTCAAATGCTTTCTAGAGTTCAAGGGCATACCAGACATTAGAGAAAAGCCTCCAACAACAACAAATTCGGACACGAAAACAAATAGGAAAATCTTATCAAGAGTAGAAACAGCCAGGCACAGTGACCCATGCCTGTAATCCAAGCATGGCAGGAATCTAAGACAGGTGGATTGCTTGAGCATAGGAGTTCGAGACCAGCCTGGGTAATGTGGCAAAACACAGTCTCTACAAATAAAAAACAAAAAGCCAAGAAAAACGAAAATTAGCCAGGCATGGTGGCTGTATTCCAGCTACTCAGGAGGCTGAGATGGAAGCATCACTTGAGCCCAGGAGGTTGAGGATGCAGTGAGCTATGATCATGCCACTGCACTCCAGCCTGGGTGACAGAGCAGAATAAGACACTGCCTTAAAAAAAAAAAATGAAAAGAAAAAGAAACATTAGAAATAAGAGAAAACTAAAAAGGAAGAAGAAAACAAAAACACTAAAACTAAAAAAAAAAAAACTATACAGTATACCTCTTGCTGTAAGAGAAAGAATATAAATTAACTTCAAACATTTAATTAGAAATTAAAATATGATAGGATTAAAAAAACCTGAAAAATAACATTGATCAAATCTCCTAAAAAGAAAAACAAGAAAAGGGCAAAAACATAAGAAAACTAGAGCATCAATCTGGAAGTTCCAATATTTGACCACTAAGAAAACCAGAAAGGGTATGGGGAAAATGAGGAAGAGAAAATTATTAACTAAATAAATAAAAGAAAATGTCCCAGAACTGAAAGGAACTTAAACCTCTAGAATGTTAGGCTGTCCAATTTCCTAGCACAAGGAATGGAAAAAGGCCTATGAAATTTCAGAATTTCAAAAGGGAAGAAGATAGTAAAAGCTTCCAGAGAGAAAGGAGTAAAGTAGGAGGGAGGTAAGGAGAGAAAAGGAGAGAGAAACAGGGCACAAAAAAAATCAGGAAGAAGAGTGATATTACAATTTACATGGACTCTAGATGGATCGTGTGGTAAGGCCACCAAAACTCTTAGGGAAAACAATTTTCAACCTAGAATTTCATACCTAACCAAAGCTGGGTCAGGAGGGAGACAAGGACTGATTTTTTGTGTACAAAAAAATGCTTTTTGTTCTGTTTGACCTTTTAAAACCATGTGCATTTATTATTTAATAAAATTGTACCTAAGAGAAATAAAAATTATGTCCAGTTAAGAGCCCCATGTTGAATCTTTCCATTACTCTGTTAAAGTTTACATTACCTACTTTTTGTTTGCTTGCTTGTTTTTCCCCAATCTTAAACAGAAATCTGATGAAGCTGTACGAGAAGGGACTATCAAGGGAATCTAGGCTAATCAGAAGGTTTTACCCTTGGATTAAAAGCCATCTGGAAAAAAAAAAGTAGCAAGACAAACTCCTCACTACAAGGGAAAGGTCAGCTAAACCCAGGAGGACTCCTTCAGTTTCATAAAGAGTCATACAAGTTGAAGCTCCCCGAAGATTGAATAGCTCTCTAAAATCTGCTGTTTCAGATCACTGCAAATTAGAAACCATGTCTGTTAATGAACGTTATACTGATCATATTAACATTATGAAAAAATGCTATAGCACAAAGATCCTGACATTTTACCTAAATGTCTGTATTTTCAGGAGCTTACTAATCAGGTGTGTAGTTTTCATTTTTAAAAGCACTGCTTTGGCCAGGCATGGTGGCTCACATCTACAATCCTAGCACTTCGGGAGGCTGAGATGGAGGGACTGCCTGAGCTTAGGAATTTGAGACCAGCCTGGGCAACCTGGTGAAACTCTGTCTGTACTAAAGTTACTAAAAATTAGCCAGGCATGGTGGTGTATGCCTGTAGTTCGAGCTATTCACGGGACATTCTCCTGAGGCAGGAGAATAGCTCAAACCCAGGAGGCGGAGGTTGCAGTGAGCCGAGATCAAGCCATTGTGCTCCAGCCTGGGTGACAGTGAGACTCTGTCTCAAAAAAAAAAGCACTGCTTTGTCTATACACATACATGTACTCACACATAGCAGACAGATTAAAACCTGAATAAAATCAATCCATCGACAGTAGAGAATCTAACCCCTGTCACTTCCCCTACCTCCAATTTATTAATTCATTCATATTCATTGTGAGTCACGTATTATCTACTATCTATTAAGTGTCTGCTATGAGAAAAGCCTTATTGGGCTTTACAGAGAATACAAGGACATGGTCTCTGCCTTCAAGAAGTTTAGTGGAATTAGAACACATTGCATAGCTACTGAAACACCTGCTAGTCTGCCACTCTCTGCATAATACCCTGATGGGACAAAGACATAAGGATTTGGGGTATCTTAGGCTTATAAACTGATTCAGAAGGGGAATATTCTTTTATGGTGTGCATTCTTGTGAAGCTTCCAGTGTCAATATTTTAAAGAGTACCAAACTTTGCTCTTGTCCAGGAAAGAAGCTAGGTAAGACAGCGACTATAAATGAGGTGAAGGTTACTCCACAATGACTTAGCAAATGAGGTTAAGGTTACCCCATAATTGACTGTCAAGACCAAGAGAAAAGAAGAAACAGTTTCAATATACTGAATTTGATTTTTACTGGCAAGCTATATAAAATGTTAGAAACTCAAGATACTTTTAAAAACACTCAAAAGCCATTAAGAGTATCTCAGGGAACTATATGAATTATAGGTATCAAATTCACATTAACAGATGGAACCAATGATTTCTTTAAAATATTGATAGGCTAAAATAATCTTGCTCTGTCAATCGAACTAAAAATGATTTTGATCAAAGAGTATCTTAGTCTGATATAGTTTCATTGATAGAATGACTACCAAGGCTTGGTATACTTGACCAAGCAAACTGTAACATGGATATACTCTCTTGGCAAATAAAATCAGCAAAAACACAATGTGCAGTTATCTTTAAACCAATTTAAAATAAGAAGATATCACACTAGCAACTTACAAGCAAACGTGAGAATCAAAGTAGAAAAGTAGAAGTGATACATCTTAAATATATATCAAAAGAATGACGGTCAATGCTAATCATTGCTGCCACTTCTTGAGCACTTACTATGTGCCAGGCACAATGCTAACTGCTTAACGGTCAGTGTGGCCTAGCAGTTAAGAGCTAGGTCTCTGCAGCCAAGCTGCCAAGGTTCAAATGCCAGTTTTCCCATCAACTGTGTTACCGTGGGCAAGCTATTAATCTCTCTATGCCTCTGTTTCCTCATCTATGAAATGTGGATAATGATGCTACTTATCTCCCAGAACTGTGTGAGAGTCAAATGAGTTAGCACCTGTAAAGTGCTGAGAGTGCAGCCAGGCACACAGTTTGTGCTACAAAAGTATTAGCTGTTGTTGTTCTTAAAGCTAACTGGCAGGCAGAGCCAAAATTCAAACCCCAGGACAAATTTTCCACTTTAAACACTATGTATAGTAACTAAAAGAGAGCGCTTACTGATAAATGAGTTAATTAACAGTGATAGAGTGCTGTGTTTCTTGAAAATAACCAAACTACAAATAGATCAAAACTGTGCAGTGGCCATTAAAGGAACAAGTGAGGCCTGCCAATAGGATTAGATGTAGGAGACACACAAAGCACTGCCCTGGGGTCAGGAGACCCAGGTTCTAACACCAGCTCAGCAACCAAGTAGCTGTGTATCCCTGACTGGTCACTGAAAATGCGGGGTCTGAACCTCCTCATCTGTTAAACAAGGGGGTGGATAACTCTGAGGTATCTTCTAGTGCTGACATCTTTTGATACTATGACCCAACAGAACATACAGTAGTCTAAAGATGTACCTTTCAGGGGGGAAAAAAGGCACTACTATTTATTTTTTTGAACAGCTACATGTATTTCAACAGGCACATGATCTAGAATGTATTTATAATTTTGGGCATAGCAACTGCAGGAGAATGAAATAGCACAGAGGAGCAAGTCTACCCCGTATTTTTAAATGCCATTAGCATATAAACAGGTTAACCTAAGACATAAAACAAGAATAATTTTTATAACCATGTAATTATTTTCCACAGTAAATTTTTTAAATGGGGGAATCTTATGTAAGTAGTTAATAAATGCTTTCATATATTACTTAATAATCAAGTTGAGAAACAATACAATTTACCTTTTTGCCCATGACGACTGCTGAATTTGTCTCCAATCTCTGGACGCCTTGTCTGTCTCAGCAGCATTTTGATCAGAAAAGCATCTTCAGCATTTGAAGATATCATCACTTTTTCAATATATGAGTCTGTTGCTCCTTTGTAACTGGTGTTAAGAGAAAGTCACTAAAACAGTTTTCAAACTGCCCTTTGTGAATTTCTCACCCACATTATATTTCATTTCATGCCAACCATATTTTCATCTTAGGCTCTGAAAAATGACTTCCTTTTTTCCTTTTTAACATTAAATTTGAATTTCATAACTTCCCTTTTACAATTCTATACATTTATTATGAGGAAGGCACAGTGCAATTTGATCCTCACAATGGTCCATACTGTTATTCCCTTATGATAGATGAGGAAAACTGATGCTTAGAGAGAGAGGTTAAGTAACTTGTCCAAGGGCACACGACTCATACAAAGTGGAACTGGGATTTCAGACTCCACTCCAAGTTCTTAACCTCAATGATAATAGTACTTTAACTTACTCAGCTTTTCTATTATTAATTTTTTTTCACACAACAAACCTTACTAGGAATCTACCATGTATCAGATCCTGTAGCCTTTGGACATGTAACGATTAAGTAGACACACCAAAGGAACTTGCAATCCAATCAAGGAGGAGACAGGTAAATGCAGTAATGATATCTGGTATGAAGAACAGGAGAGGCCCAAGGGAGATAGTCAATTTTGCTAGGGGTAGGAGCTGGCAGTGGTGGCAGGCTGTCAAGCCCTGTCACAGAAGAGGTAATCTTTGACTTAAGACCTGACCAGGCAGAGTGAGCAGTCGAAGCGAATGCACAAGGCCTAACAGAATTAAAATGTCACATTTTGGAGAATAAGAGGTGATTTCCTAGAAACACAGGGCCTAGTATGGGAGTGGGAGGCCATGGAGGCATGCTGAGGATGCCTTTCCCACAGGCGCCACTGTCATTCATACTTTCACTTAACTTACTCAAGTTTCACTCTATTTATCCAAGAGAGTAATATGACCAGAGGAGTAGTTTAGAATATCACCCTGGCAGTGATGCAGAGGGAGCCTGAGTGGTACCAGTCTGGGGGCAGAAGGACAGTTAACAAGAAGTCCGGCGAAGCAGAGGGCCACAGCACAGATACCACAGCAGGAAGTGGGAGGAGGGAGAGAAGACAGCTGCTATTGCTGTGCGTGGCAGGTAAAGGAAACGGGTCAGGTTGTATTAGTGACTGGCTGGCAGCTGGCAGCTGATGCCATTTACCAAGAGAGGGATCCAGAAGGAGGAGCCAGGGGTCACTATAAAGCTGTCCAAGTGCTGATATGAAGCTGACACTGGGCAGATGTCTATTTGGGAGTCATCAGCAAAAAGAGGGTGACTGGAGTGCTGAGAATTGGGGAGCTTGTCCAGATGAGATGCAAGCGTCATCTTGGCCAGGGTGAGGTCACCACAAGGCCAGGCAGGATGGGGGGTTAAGAGTGAGTGATTAGACGGGTAGGAGGGCCAGGTGAAAGCAGCATCACAACATCAAAGGAAGGGAGAGGTCAGTGGTGTCAAACGCTATAGAAGGGTCATATGAAATTCATTCATTCACATGGTAACTATTTACTGAATACCCACTATGGGCCAAGCACTATGCCAGACACTAGGGAGGACAAGGTGAAAAAAAGAGACGAAGTCTCAGCCTGCGAGAAGATTCCGATGGAAGGATGTGTCTGATTTGGCAAATCTGACCACAAATGGGTTTTGCTTATTTCTTTATTTCCTGTCTTCCCTCACTGAGGTGTGAGCCCCACAAAGACAGGGTCTACCAGTTTTCCCCACACTATCTCATGTGCTTGAAATAGTTCCTGGCATACTGTTAGTGTTCAAAAAGTATTACTTGAATGAAACAAACACATAGGATGTCTTTGGTGATTTCTCCTGGAGTTGTTTCAGGAGAATGAGGTAGGTGAGAGGCCAGTTTAGAGGGTTAGGGAGCGAAGGGAAGGTAACAAAGTAGAAATGGAGAGGACAGACGACTGCTCTGAGAAACTTCATAATGAAAGGAAGAGGAATAGAGTGGCAGCTAGAAAGGGATACGAAGACCAGAAAAACTTTTATTTTCCTTTCAAGATAAAAAGTATCTGAGCACATTTTCTAGACTGTGGGAAAGGAATCCATAGGAAATGGGTTGAAAATATGGGAGGATAAAAGAGAAAATGACAGAAAAAGGTCTCTGAAAAGAGTAGACGGAATTAAGAAACCAAAAGAAGAGACAAACTTTGCACAGAAAAAGAGATATCCTCCTTCAAGACAGGACGAGAGCCAACCAGCATAGCCACCTCTGTAACTGTAAAATAGCTGTTCATCTGTAGAAGTCAGTGAAGAGTCTGGACCCATTCCCTAAGCAGAGCTGCACATTTTCTCCTTGGTGCTCCTACTCCAGAGACAAATCCATGGAACCTACACTGCTTTGCTGTGTTTAGCACAGTGGTCAAAAGAAGGGCTCTGAAGCCAGATTGCATGACTTCAAATCCTGGTTCTGACCCTTATAGCTGTGTGACCTTGGTAAGTTTCTTAACTTCTCTTTGCCTCTATCTTATCTTTCTAATGTGCTACTAAGAGAACATAGCTACTGGGGTGGTAGTAGGATTAATGGAGCTAACACAGGTAAAACGTCCAGAACAGTAACTGGTACAGTGTAAATTCCCAATAAGCTATTATGATCATGGTCATTACTGCACTTTTTTTGTGTGGGGGTCTTTGCCATATGGTCCACTCCTCAAACCCAGGTTAGGCCTATATGATTCCACAGACTGGTTTTATCTTTTATGCCATGCTGCTTTCATGACAAGTAATGTTACCCCAAATAGCTATTTCCAGTTCTCCAACACGCCAACACCTAACTTCTAATTTCTCCCATTCCTTCTCTTTTCCTAACCTTTCTATGTATTATCAAGGCACAATCAATACATACGTTATAGGCACATCTTTGTACTGTGGTTGCTGCGGTACATTACTTCCTTCCAAAGGAATTTGGGTCACTGTGGGCATGGACTTATTTACAAGCACTTGTTTGTTTTCTACTTTCTCACCTAAGAAAAAAAGAAAAGTGTTAGGCATATCATTCTCATCTGTGTGGAATACAAAGATTACGAACTAGGCACAGATACACATGCCTGTAGTCCCAGCTACTCAGGAGGCTGAGGTAGGAGGATTGCTTGAGCCCAGATTGAGGCTGCAGTGAGCTATTATCATGCCACTGCACTCCAGCTTGGGCAACAGAGTGAGATCCTCTCACACACACACACACACACCCCCCATACTGTATATAAAATTAAGAAAATAATTCAGAGTACTATATTAACACAAGAAACAGTATCTCAGTAAATAGCAATTTTATATATCTCTTAGGGTGTTAAGTTTTGATCACTTACTTTTATTTATAGTTATTTTAACTAGTAATAAGCCACGACCAATTTAACTTGGGCAATGAGAAAATCAAGATATTTCTTTGGTTTTGCTGTTATTCCCATTTTTGCTTTGTATCTCTTCATAGTGAGCTCAAAGACCAACTTCTTGTAGTACTGTCATAGTGCTTATTTTCCAAGCCATATTGACCAGTGTTAGGAGAAACATTCTCCAAGAAACAATGGTAGAGAGAGGGAGAAGTCACACACTCAGTGTCTCTTTGGAACCACAGCTTGATAAAGCATTCACCACCCACAGGCCAACCATGACAAAGTCATGTGGATTTCCCTCCTTGACAACTGGGTTCTCTCTACCTTCACCACAGCTCCTGGTGCCAGATCTACCTTCTATTTTAGTGCCCTTCCAATCCTTTCTCCACAGTAGTTAGAATGATCATTTCGAAATGCATATCTGAATATATCATTGCTTTTAGGAGCATAATGAAAATAGTATTATGGGTTCAGCATGGTGGCTCACGCCTATAATCCCAGCACTTTGGGAAGCCAAGGTACGTGGAGAACTTGAGCCCAGGAGTTCAAGATCAGCCTGGGCAAGATGGTAAGACCTCATCTCTACAAAAAACACAAAAACTTAGCCAGGCATGGTAGCATGCGCCTGTGGGTCCTAGCTATCCAGGAGGTTTAAGTGGGAGAATCACCCGAGTCCAGAAGGCAGGGGTTGCAGTGAGCCGAGATTGTGCCACTGAACTTCAGCCTGGGTGACAGACTGAGACCCTGTCTTAAAAATAAAATTAATAAAATAAAAACAATAGTAACATGGTTGCAAGGCCTTGCTTAGTCTGGCCCCTACCCCACACGTCACTCACCAACTCATGTGTACCAGGCTTCCCTGCACTCTCTTATTTTTAGCCACACTGGTTTCTTTCAGAACTTTCAACTATCAAACTCGAGGACCCTTGCACAAGCATTTCTCACTACTTAGAACACACTCTCTGACCCTCTTCTTCAGTTAACTTTTACCTATCCTTCAGATTCCAACTCACTTCCTTGGGGAAGGCCATGCTGATCTTCCTAACTAGGTAAAATGCTCTTGCAATAAAATGGCCTCATAGCTACCTATATGATTCCTTAACTTGGGTTTGTGCATGATCCTCTGATCAATGTCAGTTTCCTGCACTAGCCTGTGAGACCCATAAGGGTAGGGGCTATTTGTTTCATCAACAAAATGCATTACAAGTTTGTAATTATATTGGAGTCATACCTCACAGGGGGATAAAATTCTAAAGTAGTCTGTAAGCTAAATGTGTAAACGAAGAAATGTCAGAGCAGATGCAGGGACACGGACTATTCTAAACATTTCCTTAAGGTGACTTTTCTATGATTCAAAATTATGTCTAGAAAATTATAATTTGCATAGATTACTGATAGGTAAAAACATAGTGCACAGAAAGACAGACTAGAAGGAAATTCATTAAAAATGACAGCATTGGTTGAGTTTGGATAGTGGTATTACAGGTTGTTACTTTTTTTCTTCCCTTTTTGTCAAATATTCAGAAATATTATTGAATGACAAATTTTTACTTTAAAAGGGTTTTACCTGGAGAACAAATACCATCTGCATCTAAGATTTCATGTCGCCAGATGGGTTTCCTTGTAGCAGCATCCAACATGGGCCCCATCACTTTATCAAAAGTCTGATTGGTGTATCGTTTCAATGTACATTTAGCATTTTTATATACAAGGCAACGCCCAAAGCCTAAAACAAAACCAAAATGGGCATTAGAACCGCCAGTAATACAAAGCCATAAGAAAACATGGATTTGTGCTATTCAACAATCCACTCCCAAAACTTCTCTGTATTTGATAAAAATCGGAGACCAGAAAAAACCAAATAAAAATCTGACAATGTGAAGAAGCAGTACAGGACTTGTTCCCTATTGTCTGTTAACACTGGAATCTCTACAACCATTTTCTGCATGGAATACACCTTCTCATACTGGAGAAGGATGAGAGAAATCTAAGACTGGCACTGTGATTCTTTCAAGGACAGAGCCATACAGTATTAGAATTGGAAAGGGTCTAAGAAATCACTTGGCTTCTTAACCTATCTCTTTTACAGGCAGTAGGAGTGAGGTTCAGAAAAATTAAGTGGTCACAGTTATCCAGCAAGTTGGCGGCAGAGTTGAGAATTGTGTTGATCAGCACAAGTCCACCAATTTCTGAGCCAGGATACACATCCTTTTGGTGCACAACTTCTGCTGACCTTCCCTAGAAAGTTTTCCTCCTTAAAATTTGACATTTAGAGTGAGTTCTAGGCCAGCAAGTAAAAACATTAATTTTTCTCCAGAGAAGAGAAACAATCAAATTATTTTAATGGGAAAGATAGCTCTCCTCTGCCCTAAAGATCGGAGTTTAATTACATTTTTAGACTGCATTTATCTAGTGGGTAAGGGGAAAGCTGTGAAATCAACAAACAAGCTAAACATTAAGCTGCCTACCAATGGTTCAGAAAAATAAAAGGGAAAAAAATAAACAAAAAGGATGGAAGAAAAACCTTTGGGTGAGGCAACAACCTCAACCACTAAATCCCTAAAAGACAAAAATCCAACAGTTGTAGAGTTACCCAAAACAGCTGTCATTCCTTCAACACTATAATTTCCTAAGAGTCTGTGGCTGCATTTCTTTCTTTTTTCCCTTTGGCCAAGCAGTTATTTTAAACTGGATTCTCTTACTAATCTCCTCAGGATATACTGAGCCATGCCAGAGTTCACTTAAATAAGAAAATATCTCAGGATTAAACGCCAGTTATTACTGATGAAATAAATGCATGGCTGAAAATCCTTCACTTAACAATTTTCCACCAAAAGCAGAAATCTAAGAATGTGACTTTAGAAATCAATCAGGTAAAAGTGGATTAATAAAATCTCAGGGCTGTAATATAATTTTTTAAATATGAAGGTGATGGTGAGATGAAGTAATGAATTTCTACAACTGGATGTCGTCAGATGAAGACATTTGTGTCTTTAAGAAAGGCCATAGTCATCATGGCTCCTAGGAAATTGTGTATGGCCATGATAAATTCAGCTCAGAATGCCAGCTGGTTTGGAAACATTACATGATCTTGAATTTTTATACAGTAGCCATTAACTGCAACATGCTGGAGTGCAATGTGAATCTTAATTGCATAAAATCAGGAAGTGTTTTCTTCAAAGTATAAATACACATTTTATTTACAGGTGATAGCTTAAAAGCTAGGGACAGTAAACTCAGCTCATTAAATTGGGTTGCAGAGTTTCTGACAGACATCACAAAGTCTTCAGATTTCCACATAAATGTTACCAGTTAATCAGAAAGGAAAACATCTAGTTTTAAAGCATGGCTGTTGTCATTTGGAGGAAAAAAAAAGGCATAAATTAAGTGTGGCCAACATTAATGCCAAAGGCACATGTCTAGGAGTACTATTATGGCTGCCTAGCAACTACAAAGAGGGAAGGGGAAGGCATAGTGGGTATGCCAGAAAGGAAAAAGAGAACTTGAGATTATGAATAGAGAAGTCAGTCTTCAGATCAGGTGATGGCTAACAAACCAGGAAGTGGTGATTTGCGAAAGTAACCGTCAAAAACAGAAAGAAAAGTGGAAAAACTCCACACCAGAGTTTGTGGCTGTGTATTTTTAACTTTCGTCACTTGGCCAAAGAAGGAACCAGATTATAAGGTTATACAAATAAGAAATAGCCTTTTACATCCAAAAATTGCTACTGACCTCTAGAACTGGTTTGTTAATAATACACTAGAGTGAAAACACGTTTTTAATATATTCTAATTTCTCCTAGAAAATACACACATTCCTACATTTTTTTCTCTTTGAAGAACTGTCTTACATAACCAATAAAATAACAAAGAAGAAAAATATTCTGTAGTAGTACATTTCAGAAATGACAAGAAATCAACATCAAAACCCAACCACCTTCCTGTTTGTATATCATAAAATTCAAATAACTTGAAACTGACATTATACACATTTTGACACCAAGTGATTTTTACATTAATCATCCCTATATCTAATTGTGCAAAAAGCACCTTTGGCATTAAGAGTTTTGAAAATTCACTTACCTCTGTCTAAAGAGGCCTTGTTTAAAACGAGAGCATCTTCAATATCATAGCCACTATAACTCATCACAGCAACTGTTGCATTCTGTCCAGCTGGCAGTTTCTCAAATTCTATCAATTCAATGGTTTTTGTCTTAACCATGGGTTTTTGTGGATATGCGAGTAGATACATGAGAGTATCAATTCTGTTTCGTTGGTTGTATCCTATAGTACCTGCATTGATATTGGAGAAAACAAAACACAACATTCTATTATGTGAAATAATAAGGTAGTAATGAATATAAATACATTAACAACACAAATTAAAATGAAGAAAATCTTCAGGTTCAACATTTCAAAAGTAATACTCTCATGGTGGCTAACAACTTCCAAAAGCAACTTTTCTCACTAATAAAGTCCCACAAAGAAGAAAAAATATACTCAGAGTATACTAATCTAAATAATTTAGACTTTTTGGATTCATATTATCCCAATTGAGGGATTTAGTTTCCACTGGTTAATTTCACAAGTAAATCAATAATTCTTTATTTGGTTCTACCATGCTCCAGGCCTGCTGGGGACAGGTAGTGTGAGAACGATGCTCAGTGCTTACATGCAAGGAGCTTATACAATGGATAAACAGGTATATTTCATAATAAGAAATAAACAATTGCAAAAGTTCTAAATGAAAAAGAAAGCAGGAGAGAAGGGATGAAAAAGAATGAAAAAAGAGGAATTCAAGTGAGAGCAAGGAAGAGTAGGATTGATTCATTTATTTGATGATTCATTTATTAAGCAGTTAATAAACATCTACTCTGTGCCAAACACTTGAGATAAAATAGGAAAAGGCATGGTCCCTTCCTTAAAAAATCTAGGGTACAGTCCAATCAGGGGTGGGCTCTTCCCTGCTTAGCAATCAGTCTTTCCACCTGATTGTTCCTTGGAAGGGTGTTATTGGGTCACTGTCAACTGAACATGAAATCAGAATGTTAACCCTTTCTCTCATTTCCCCTTATAAACACACTGGGGTTCATGGACCTGCCTGAAGAAAAGTCTTTCAGTCTCCTGGGCTTGGGGATATAGCACTGATGCTACACAGAGGCCTTAAAGTTGGAAAACTCAGGCTTGCTCTGCTGTTGAGCTTGAGCGTGGGCTACTGAGCCTCTGTAACTTTTAGGTATCTCTTTTTTTCCCCCTGTAAATGGCTAAGAACAGATGTTAATGTTAGAAAAAAGAAGGTAGCTTTAAGTCTCTCTCTCTTGCACATGCTTCCATAGTGACACATATTCAACACACACACCACACCACACACACACACATACACACACTCCAAAGTACTACCTACGTGCCATTTCACAGACTTACACCCTAGGGAGTGCAGACACTAAAACTCAATTATTTATTTCTTTGAACTTTTTCTCCATACCCATGTCATTAAATCAATGATGATCTCATTTTGGGCATGAAAACAAGGTATTCAGGCTGGGCATGGTGGCTCATACCTATAATACCAACACTTTGGGAGGGCGATGTGGGCAGATAGCTTGAGCTCAGGAGTTCGAGACCAGACTGGGAAACTGACAAAACCATCTCTATTAAAAATGCAAAAATTAACTGGGCCTGGTGGTGTGCACCTATAGTTCTAGCTACTTGGGTTGCTGAGGCATGAGAATCACTTGAGCCCAGGAAGTCGAGGTTCCTGAGCTAATATCACACCACTACACCCCAGCCTGGGCAACAGAGCAAGACCCTGTCTCAAAAAAAAAAAAAAGGAAAGAAACCATTAAAACAGCAAAAATGATACAGTATTCCTTGACAATTACTACTGAAAGAAATAATAAATATGTAGGGAATACCTAGTACAGTGCCAGGCTTATTACAGATACTCAATAAATGTCATATGAATTAAACTGAAGAATCCCATTACACTTTTTATGACAGTATGTCTGTGCTTAAATCTCTAAAAACTTAACAAGATTCAGCTGAAAAACAAGTCAAACTGAACCTCATAAACTTTTCATTGAGTTTGCACTATAAAGTGCCAATTAATTATGCTATTTTAGTGGCAACTAATAAACTGGGCAGGATACCTGGCAATAGATCACTTACTGTTTTAGAAATAAGATTACTACTGCTGGGATTATGGTAAAGTTCACTGACAATAAGTTTGTCCTCTTATATGAAATCATTTAAAATTTATGTTGAGATTCCAGCTCCAATTGTATACTTTACTCAGCTGGAGACAAGGGTTCAGGCAATGTCCCACCAGGCTGCCAAACATGTCTTCTGAAACCTGAGACACACATTATTATGCAGCAGGGAAGCATAAATGGCTGCACCTCTAAACAATGGTGAAAAGGACTGGATCCTGCTATAAATTGTGCTACCAGGCCTAGAACATAATTCTCAGGCATTACAACTGACCCCTGAAGGGATGAACAACCGAATAGTTCAGCAAATGTATGATGCTTATGACATCAAAAGTTTTCTCTTAAGGCTTTTTGAAGAAATTGTGAGAGTATACATGCACATGCATTTAGCAGCACCGACTAAGGGGGTGTAAATTAAAATGTTAAAATAGGATTTGTAAACTATGATTTCTGTATCATAAAACTTCAAAATGCCATCAGATTCCCTTATTTTTATAAAAATTATTAATGACTGACTAGCTATTTTGCCAGTAAGCAAGAGGCAAGCAAATGATAAAGCTTGCCTATGTTAAGCACATGCTCAAACTCTCGATTCCCCTATTACTACTTTCAGCTTCCTTAAAAAGGGCATTACATGTATACACACACATATAAAATAACACAAGAATACCTATAAGCTGCACTCTACTTCTATTATCCTATTTTGCTGTAACTATGGTCTCCAATGATTTCCTTTACTAAGACATAATCTTTCTTAAAAAGCCATATTTTCTTGATAACAACTTTCTTAAGAAGTCAAAAGCTGGCACTGAAGGTATACAAATGTAGGTTAAAATACTGAAGTGCTTTTGTATAAGGTGGTATGAAAAAGGTTAGTAAGGAGGGATATAAACAGCTTAGAAAACGTATGCTGAAAAAATTAAAATGAAGTTTTATGCATTTAGCTATTTTTTTCCTATCTTCCTTTGCCCAATTTTCTCTCTCTCTCTCTCCCTCCCTCCCTCCCTCTCCCTCTCCTCATCTCTCCCTCTCTCCCTCCCTCTCTTTCTCCCTCTCCCTCTCCCTATCCCTCTCTCTTTCTTTCACCCAGGTTAGAATGCTGTGTTAGAATCTCAGCTCACAGCAACCTCCGCCTCCTAGGTTCAAGTGACTCTTGTGCCTCAGCCACCCTAGCTGGAATTACAGTTGTGTGCCACCACACCCAGCTAATTTTTGTACTTTTAGTAGAAATGGGGTTTCACCATGTTGGCCAGGTGAACTCCTCAACCTCAAGTGATCCGCCTGCTTCAGCCTCCCAAAGTGCTGAAATTCTGCGCCTAGCCCCAATTTTCTTCTAAATCAACATTTTTAAATACAATAAACTTCATCCATTTAAAGCGTACAAATTAATGAGTTCTGATAGATATATATACCTGTAAAACCACCACTACAGTCAAGATCCAGAACATTTCTAAACCCCCAAAAGATCCCTCCCTTTGTTCCTCACCTCAGGAGACCACTGATCTGTTCTGTATCATTACAGATTAGTTTGCATTTTCTAGAATTTTATATAAATGGAATTACACGGTATCTGCTTATTTAGGATAATCATTCTGAGATTTATCCATATGGTTGAATATCATAGTTCATTCTTATGGCTTAGGATTGTATAAATATACATTTTATTAATTCATTCACCTGTTGATGAATATTTGCATTGTTTCCAGTTTTTGGCTACTGTGAATAAAACTGCTATAAACATTCATGTACAAATCTTTGTATGTTTTCATTACTTTGGGTAAATATTTAACACCTAGAAATGAAATTTCTGGGTTGCTTGGCAAAGGTATAGTTAACTTCAAGAACATTCCAAAGAATTTTCCAGAGTGATTATATCACTTTAAATTTCCACCAGCATTTCGGTTGCTCTATATCCTCAGCAACACTTAGTATATCAGTCTTTTAATTTTAATCATTCTAAGTGTGTAGTAGTATCTTTTAAGATAGGGGTCTTAATTTGCACTTATCTGGTAACTGATAATGCTGAACACAGTTTCATGCCCTTACTTGGTCATTCCAAAACTTTGTGAAGTGCTTGGCTTTGTTTTTATTTTGTCCATCTTTTAATTGGGTTGTCTTATTACTGAAGTGTTCTTCATATATACTTGAATACAAATCCTTTATCAGATATATGTATTGCATACACTTTTTCCCATTCTATGGTTTGCACTTTCATATTCTTTTTTTTTTAATTTTTTTTTTGAGATGGAGTCTTGCTCTGTAAGCCAGGCTAGAGTGCAATGGTGCAATATCACTCACTACAACCTCAGCTCCCGGGTTCAAGCAATTCTCCTGCCTCAGCCTCCCGAGTAGCTGGGACTACAGGCATGCGCCACCACACCTGATTAATTTTTGTATTTTTAGTAGAGACAGGGATTCACCATGTTGGTCCGGCTGGTCTTGAACTCCTGACCTCATGATCTGCCTGCCTCAGCCTCCCAAAGTGCTGGGATTACAAGTCTGAACCACCATGCCTGGCCTGCATTTTCATATTCTTAACAGTATCTTTCTGACAGCAAAAGTTTAATTTTGAGAAAATCAATTTTTATACTTTGTAATTTTTTTTCTTTTGAGATGGAGTCTTGCTCTGTTGCCTAGGTTAGAGTACAGTGGCGCGATCTCAGCTCACTGCAACCTCTGCCACCCAGGTTCAAACAATTCTCCTGCCTCAGCTTCCCAAGTAGCTGGGATTACAGGCACCACATCTGGCTAATTTTTGTATTTTTAGTAGAGATGGGGTTTCACCATCTTGGCCAGGCTGGTCTTAAACTTCTCACCTAGTTATCCACTCACCTCGGCCTCCCAAAGTGCTGGGATTACAGGCGTGAGCCACCGCACCCAGCCTACTTTGTACTCTTTATGTAAAAAAACTCTTAGCTTAACTCAAGCTATGAAGGTTTTCACTTAGATTTCCTTCTTCAAGTGTAATGGTTATTTGCTCTTACATTTAGGACTATGATATAGTTTGTGTTAATTTTTATACTCTATAAGGTAGAAGTTAATGTTCCTTTTTTCCATATAAGTATACAGACATTTATTTTGGTG